CAATTTTTGCCTCCTTTTGTTTTAATTTCCGCACAGTTCACTGCGTGGGCCCAATTCGCGTGTACTCTACTGGAGTACACCTTTCCAGACTTGTTAAATATAACTGCGTCCTTAGAAAGGGTAATATGATATTGATCAGGCAGCCTGTGTTAAAATAGAGTTGTGTGCTTGCACCTTAGTTTCCTGGGCTCCTGCTGTGCATAAAAGCAAGCAAGTCACGTCTCACTTCTTGTGAGGAGTTATATACGTCTTTCGTTTACAGCATCGGGAGTGATGGGTCGTGGAGCATAATTACTGGATAACTGTAGTTGCTGATAAAGAGTGTTTACAACACAGATAGTTCAGTCGTCAGGTATCACAGGGGTCTATGCAATAAAGGCAGGGAGTTGTATGAACTGTCCAACTGAATTTAAAAAAAGTTTCTGCACACCGCAGTATCCAGTGAACTGATCGCTGGCAGAGAAACGTTCTGTGCAGTTGAAGCGTGCTGAAACACGTAAAGCGAATAGCAGCAGGGCCAATAGGCTATTTTAATTGCGCAACTGACCGTTTTTTGCTTTGAATCCCGTAGAAAATACTCACTCAGTATCCTGAGTTCAACGTTCACCCCTCGAGCGTAAAATATTGTACGAGAATGAATCTTGAAGGAGGAAAACAACGTTCATTCAACTCTAAACTGGTCACTTTACTGACTGGCAGCTCCGTGGTGTTACGCACAAAATTTTACGTACAAAATTGGTTAGAGTTAAGCAGAAAGATGGCGGTCATTTGCGTTGTAGCGCCGTGTAGTCTGGCGGATGTTTACCAACGCTTCAGAAGTCGCTGCTGCCTCCATCATCAGGGCCATGAGTGCACTCATCGCCCTGAAACTTTGGTAAACTTCTGCCAGACTTCACGGCGCTTCAACCCAGAAGACGGCCGCCTTCAGAAGCTTCTGAGAGTTACGTGGACCTCGGAATACTATATAGTAAGAGGATCGAATGGAAACCGAATTGATACTGAAACACCTTAATGTTTAAGTTGCAGTGCAATACTGGGTTTAGTGCATTAATGCGTAAATGCGAGGTTTAGTGACTTTTTCATCACAATTTACTCTACGTAACACCACAGAATTTGTATAAAGTAGCGTATGGTGGGATAGACTCGTATTCAGCGCTGGCAGGAAACTTTCCTCCATAGATTGTGTGAAATTAAGTAATGTGCCAAGAACAAAAGTAATTGGTGTGTCTGATTGACATATTTCTTTTGAAGCGTCGGAATGGTTAAGCTTTTACAGCCATTATTGCAGCTGAATTTATATAGTTGAAACACGTTATCCAAGAAAAAGTTCGCGAAACATTATAGTGCAACCACGTGACAGTAATTATGCACACTAGGGACTCTGATGCCTGAAGGGAGGGGCTTAGAAGTTAAGTCACCTATAATTATACACAGTGGCGAAATACGACATTTATAGGGCAAACTATATGAGAAATTAAGCGTGACAAACGATGCTAAGTAGCTGTGAGCATTCCTATATCTGCGATACACTGACCCAAGTCGGAGGAACTGCGGCCCAGTTCCGAAATAAATGCTTCACATAAATATTCTGTGGGGGTACTTCGGGGCTAGCGGCATCCTAGTAGTTAACATGCGTGAACGAGATCCCATGTAAGTCGGCAGATGTGAAACTGGCAGGATACAGTAGTTCCTCAACAACAAACTCTTTTGTGTGGACAGTAGACCAGAAGATGTTGACTTGCTCGCTCGCGTGTGTGTGTATGTACGTACGTATGTGTGTATGTATGGCATGCATGTATGTGCAGATCTATGTATATACGTGTGTTTAGGACGCATGCATGTGTGCGTGCGTGTACGCAACGTTTAACTATATTTATATAATTTTTCATAATTTATTTTTTAATTTATGTAATCGAGGGAACCGACCACTGTGGAGACCTAGATGTAGATGGCAGGATAAAATCAGGCGGGATCTGTGGGAGATACGAGTTGAAAGACACTGGATTTTGTTGGCACAGGGCAGGGTGCGATGGAGGGCTTTGGTTAATTCGGTGATGAACCTTCGAGGTCCGTACGCCGTCTAGTTAGTTAGTTATTTTATTTAATCCTGAGTTTGTAATTTGCATTAGCAGTCATATAACATTTAAAACGTTAATAATACGTCAGTAACGCGTATTAAAGAACATGTGTGTGTGACAAAATATTAAGAATAAAAAAGTGCTTTCCTTAATTGCATATGCAAAGGACTTTTTATAAATAAGCCACATACGAGGTTTCTAATGAATAGTGGAAAATCAATTAAATCTTTTGCTCGGGGCTCAAACACAGAAACTCTGCTTATACTTTGTGAAGCAATATTTTGGCTCACCGTGTGGATGGCGGTGTCTGCAGCAGCAGACTTCCTTGCTATGTATCTTTTCACAACAAGGCTGCTAAGTTTCTTTGGATGCAAATTATTTAATTAATTTTATGCAAATTGTTCAACACATGACAGCGCCTGGCGTCGCGACGCATGCGTTGTGACGTCACAGCAGCAGCTCTAGCAGGCGGGTGGCAGTAGTCGTGAGCTGTTCGCTGGTACTGAAGGGTCTGGGGCTCTGGTGCGCTGTTCTGTTCCAGGTAAACTCTGCACCATGCTAACTGTGTACTGTAGCTCTGGTACAGCACTTGTCTGCGGCTTTGTCTTCATGCACGAAAGAGACTGTTAGTTCTAAATTTGTTAGGTATTGTAGTACGCATATACGTGGTCCAGTATTTTATTTCCAAAGAACATATTTAAACACACGAACCTTAATACGGTTTGTGGATGATAGCTGAAACGCCAACTTCATTTAATCCTTGCCTACATGCATGTAAGACTCCAACATTTAATTTTAACAGGGTTGGCGATAGATGGTGTTTTGCTTTTGACGACAAAGGTTTGCTAAGCATTTTTTTTAGGTTAAGAAGAAATGAGATTTGATGTTTCGTACGACACTGAAAATGGATTGTGGTCTTCTGGCTTATGTACCCCGCAGATGGAAAAGATACATTCCTCCGAATGTTATCCACCTACAAGACTGCACGATGTCATAACTCAGAAGATCAAAATCCAAATTGTTACCGTTTTGAAAACTTAAAATCAGTTTTTCTTAACGTCCAAGTCCCTACCAAGCTTACAATTGAAATTCTATAAAATAAATGTTTACTGTAATTTCTTTACAAGTTCGGATTGAGAACTAAAATTACGCTAAATTGAAGTGTATTGATAGGCATATATGAAAGAATGCTTATAAATAAATAATTTTTTATTATAAAATTAGCTGGTATTTGAAAAGCTGCTCCACGACTTTTCCAGAGTTCTTTTTGTCAGAAAGTAAATTTCACTCACAGGCCTGTTGTTCTAGAACTTAATCATCCTTACATGTTTGTGACAGACTTACACAGGTGGAAATTATTATTATCCTTTCAGTTACAGTCATTTTACTACCAGTTCATGTAGACATTCCGACATTTCTCATTATGACAAGCAGCTACTAAGATAAATTATCATTTCCTTGCCTTTGCGCCGAGGAAGCAATCGGACCACGAAAGAATCATGTGCCCATTAAAAATTATAAAACAAATTCTCTACGGGCGATTACAACATGTTGAATGTTTGTGCGGGTCAAAATTTAAAGCAGTGTATCTGTTCTGTGTATTTCAGGTTCATTGTATTCGCTAGCTTTCAGTTCACACTGAAATTAGTGAGCTTTCAGGTTCTCGCGGCGGCTAGTACGAACGTGCTTGCCTTCTGGGCTATTGCGCCGTGTAGTCGGGTAGATATTTAAGGTTGAGGCCTAAGGCCTTATCTCCCCGGAGGCAGCAGGCACCCCTGAACGTCTGTAAACTTCTGCCAGACCACACGGCGAGACAACCCAGAAGGCAGCCATATTCAGACTCTGTTTTATTCCTTCAATGTGAGAGAAATTAGGTAAAATCTAAATCTAAATGTTTATTTTAATTTTTACGTTTTTAGGTAGCATGCAGAAAGACAAAAGAGTCTGAACTGTATAGTGGCATATTTAAACGTGCCAGATGGTCCAAAGATTGACCCACTCTCTTTGTATTATGATTCTGTTTTGCATTATGCTGGCGATGCGTACATAACTTCGTTTTCTCTACGTTTACTTCTGGATCAGTGTAACAACCAACGTCTAGTAGAGCTTCGTTGGTTTTTTAAAGACACCTATGGTTTCTCCCATTATAAGTTTTGTTTAAACACATTTTAATTAGCCTAACTAGTTTCGTGGGCGTACCGATTTCAATGAGAATGTTGTATCCCAAGAAAGAGGCTAGTTCTGAAATACAATTTAATTTGAGATCAGAGCAGTACTTTTTTCCAGATATCTTGGGGTATGGCATGGAAAGTGTTACAGTATAATGTTAAAATAAAAATTCGTCGATGAAACATTTAGTGAAGTTAAGGGAGACATGTTTAAATCAAGTGTTTTATAGTATATATGAGATTTATGTACTACATGGAAATGGAATCGGAAGCCACAGGGAGAAGTGATTTCACAATTTACTGAACCATTCTGACTTGAGGGAAGCATCTAGCAAACTTTTGTAACTTTTTACCTCCCTATCAAATTTGACAACTTCCAGTATAAGTTTTTTAAACCGGAGGTAGCTTACAACAAACTGGCATCAATTTCTTGGCAGTTTCTTACGGGAACATATTTTATTTAATGGGGAACCCTTTTTCTTTTCGTTTAATGAAGTTTTCAATGGCAGAGAGTTATTTTCTCTATTTTAAAACTTCTTATTATCCTACAAGAATGAAAATGCAGTGCAGTGCAGACTCATCAGATTGGTTGGTAGAGAACTCGTAGGTTGTTGAGGATCGAATGTAGATTTAACTGTGTATGATTTGAGGTTTTCACAGCGGTGAGTATGAAGATTTCTGTCTTCTGGGTTGTTGCGCTGTGTAATCTGGTAGATGTTTACCAACTTTTCAGAGGTCATACTGCCTCCATCATCAGGGCGATGAATCGCAACAACCCAGAAGACAGAAATCTAGATGTAACTGGCTCTTGAGAACCTGAAATCCTGCCAAGTGTGGAAATGTTCCTCTACACTAAGATTTCAGGAATTGTGTTCAAGAAATGGAATTAAGTAAGCCCATTATTTTCTGTTATTTTGGCGCTATTGTAGAATTGAGACACCTTCTATTAAAACAAACTTTAATCGAAGGCTCGTCACTGCAGGGTGATAAACAGTGTCACTTGCCACAGTGAACCCGTCTTCAATAACGGGGACCGGATAGGAGAAGAGGCGAGTCGGATGTGACCCACACTTCTAATTTATCACCTCGGGTCTGGGATAGAAACGTGAACTTCAAAAGGACCTTCAATTTCAGCGTATATTGTTTCCTGTCAGGTCGTATTGAATGGTGTTATTGTGATTACAGCCTTCAGGCTCTCAAGTAAAGTGGAAACTTGATCACTCGATATTATTACAATTAAGGAATTTACTCCCTCAAATACCACTGAAAGAGCATTTTAACGTAACAGTGGTTGTAGTTTGAGAACTTGTGATAGAAAAAAGCCTATATTTTGACGGAAAGGTAGGTTTTAACTTTCTCCTATTGTTATCGTATAGAGGGAATTAAAGTTACAAACGTGTTCGTTTATGATGGAAAGGTGGCTGTGTTTTGACGGAGAAGTAAATTTTAAGCTTTTGCTACAGTAATCACAAAAATGCCAACATTTTGACTTACAGTTCAGTTGCCACGTCCATGACAGAAATGTATTTGGAATAATTTCTACCTCTGTTTGTGCGTCAGTATTTATGATGGTATCTGCGTTTGTGTCGCCTTGTAATTGATCCTTTACAGAAGTCTGAAAAACCAAGGAGACGAAGTTTCTATTGAAGACAGCTGCCATAAAACATATACACAAACACGATTTAAAATCTTTTACTCATGCAACAGAATTCACTTCTTTATAGCCTCGTGCTAGCCACTTAGGGTGGAGCGTTCATGTTATCTGCGTCAACCCTGTTAACACTTTATGAAACAAACGTAAAAATAAGTAAATACAAATATTTTTACACTTTCATGGTTCATTGGTAAACAGTACACTAGAACACTTCAGACACGACCAGATAAAATGAATCGTTAGCCAGCTCTAGCCAACCATGCGCTCGCCGCTAGTGTAAGCCACAACAAGATAGCTAACGATGCATTTTATCTGATAGATTCTGCTGTATTCCAATTTGTTGAGTGTCATTGAACCACGAAAATAAAACAGAAGTCTTTATTCGATCTTCGAAGTGTTAGCCCAGCCAACATGGTTAACATGTACGATTTGAGGTTTTCACAGCGGTGAGTATGAAGATTTCTCTCTTCTGGGTTGTTGCGCTGTGTAGTCTGGTCGATGTTTACCAACGTTTCAGAGCTCATACTGCCTCCGTCATCAGGGCGCTTTATCGCCCTATGAGCAGGTACAGGTAAATATAGTTTTAAAGTCTGCACAGAATTGAAGTGCTTTCAGTGTTGGACTTCTGTGAACATGATTAAACTTCGGACTACATAAACGCAGACTACTACCGTATTTACAAGCTCTTTCCAAGCCCTTGAAAATTCCTAGGCGTTGCGCAGAACGTAGTTGTGTGTCTACCCTCGCTGCTGACTCAAAAATTCGTTCTGCTCACTCAACTCCTAGGATTTATAGGCGCCTGGGAAGGAAACATTTAAATGAGGAGTAGGGATGGGTACAGCGAGCTGCCAGCGGCTCTGGCAGTATTGTGATTTGCATTTGATTGCAATGGAATATCCTATATGCAGTGTATAGGTTAAAGTACTAGTCCATCATAGAACAGAAGTAATTAATTGAAGAGGGATTGCTTCCGTGCTCCGTAGTTCTTCCTTAGTTGTGTCGTTTGCAGAAAGTTTGAGCTTTCTCGTCGTGAATATGAAATTACCAGTTACTGTACTTTATTTGAAGATACTAACAGAAACTTGTAACGTTCTTCAGTATAGATCTAGCTACATTCTGCAAGGCACTCCTTGACCTGGTACAGAAATTTCTTGCTTTTATGGAGCACCACAGTTTTGACATCGTATTTACAATATCCCACCAGCTATGTTCACCTACTTAGAATCAATCCAAACTTTCACCTAGATGCACGATGCTTTCTCTGTGAACTATTTTAATATTCTTTTTCGTATCTGTTCCAAGATTTCCCTGGAGATACATTTCTTGTGGTTTTCCCGTAAAATAAGGTAAGCCTGTTTGTAAGTCAATTGTCCTATTGCTTGCTGCGTACTTGTGTAATCTCATTGGTAATGTGCCAACGTAAACTCCCACCCATTTAATAGACAACATTGTTCCTCGTGTTTAACAGAACACCACGCAGTGGAGACGTATTGTAGAATGGAGGTATAGATCCAGCCATTCTTAACGTCGTCTCTAGATGGTTAAAGGAGGCAGATTCATGCTCCGGCCTCTCAACGTCTGAGGAAAGAACCTCCATATTCTTTTGATGGGAGACTGGGTGCCTCAGGACCGGCGTGGACGTTGTGAGATTTCTGTCGTCCAGTACGCAGCTTAGCTCCTCTACTGAGGTCGTGACCTTTTATTTAATATAACTTTAAT